AGTAAAGATGGGGTTCTGCCATATTGGCCAGGCTGGTCTCCAACTCCTGACTTCAAGTGATCCACCCACCTCAGCCTTCCAAACTGCTGGAATTACAGGCGCGAGCTGCCGCGCCTGGCCCAATCATTTAGATACACTGCACAGCAATGCCGCAGGCACAACACAAATGAGAGTCCTACTCCTCCCAGGAAAACAGCTAGGAGATAGCGTCCCACAGGCAAGACATTCCTCTCTGCCGACTGCAGATCCCGGAAGATGCTCCTTTCTCTTATCCCTATTTCCTTTGTCTTTTATTCCAAGGAAAAGGCACTGACATTTGCTGAGTGTCTACGAGTGTATCCCATAGCCCAAGCACTCTCCACCCTGATTTAATCCTCAGAACAACGTTATGAGACAGGAATCATTTGCTTCATTTCAGATGAGCCCCTGCAAGGAAAATTAAATTGTTCCAGGCCCAGAGTTTCAAATCCAGTGTTGTCTGGCTCCAGACTCTGCTTTCATTATTTCCTCTTCTCATCTTCTCAGCACCAACTGTATTTCCTGGAAACTATTCTTGAGACTACAGTATGATAACGTGATTCCTGCCTTGGAGGAAGTCAAAGTTTAGCAAACAATTTGAAGTTTATTCTTGATATTATCAAGAAATATTTTTGCCATACAATTTGCCAGAGTCCATTTAAATTCAAATCTTCATTGGTATAATCAAAATTTCAAAATTATAGTCAACTTAAAAGTTTGGATTTTTTTCACTCCTGTTTTTAGTAATTCTTCTCTTGAACAGAGTGAGAGGAGTGTGCCACTGTAATGAGATAATAGGAGCATTCCCCCGAAACAGGTAGAAATCTTCTGATGAAATTCATCAGTTTTAGTGACTTAACTATAAGCATATCTCAAAGACTGAACTGTTGCTCTATGTTATACACCTAAAAGGAAGTAAGATGCCTGACTAATGACGAATTAGAATTACATTATACCTTTTGCACAGTTAATTCTTGCCTTTACAAATTCTTTTCATTGCATTGGTCTCATGTGGATCCTGTGGACTTATGTGAGAACTGCAATCCTCTTCTTCTATCGGTCTATTAAAGGCAATTGGCGTTGCATTTCATTGCCATGGGCTTTAGAAAATGTACAGTCATCATCCCAAGATGAGGTTTTTACATTCTTTCACTCACCCTCTTCTTAGCACACTCAAATTTCCTTAGTATGCTGCTTCCTTAATTTAGCAAATGATGATTGTGTACCCACAATGTGCTAGGTAAGGTGCTAAGAAACAGTGATAAAAAAAGCTGACAAGGTACTTTCTCTGGTAGAGTTTATATTCTTTTCCTTTTTTTTTAAGACAAGGTCTTCCCCTGGGCAGGAGGTCTTTCCCAGGTTGGAGTACAGTGATGTGATCACGACTCACTGTAGCCTCAGCCTCTCGGATTCAAGTGATCCTCCTGCCTCAGCTTCCCAAGTAGATGGGACTACAGGCACACACTACCATGCCCAGCTTATTTGTTTATTTTTGACAGAGAAAGGATCTCCCTATTTTGTCCAAGCTAGTCTCAAACTTCTGGACTCTAGCAATCTACACACCTCAACCTCCCAAAATGCTAGAATTACAGGCGTGAGCCACTCAGCCCAGCCTAGTTTATATTCTATATCGGCAAATATATTTAGTAAAGGGCAGGATAGTAAATATTTTAGGCTTTGTGGATCATACCATCTCCAATGCAACAATTTGATTTTGCCGTTGTAGCACAGCAGCATCCATAGACAATAGATAATTTACTAAGACAGCAGTGTTCCAGTAAAAGGTTATTTATAAAAACAAGCAGTGAGCCAGATTTGGCCTGTGGACCATAACTTACTGATCCCTCTTCTATTAGATTCCATGTTGTTACTGGTCTCGCTTTTTATTATATGTATTATTAAGGTAAACCTGATATTTTCAATTAAACTTTTTATTTTCATATAATTATAGATTCACATTAAGTTGTAAAAAATAATAAGAGGAATTCTGTACACCTTTCTCCCAAGTGGTAATATCTTTAGAAACTACAGCACAGTATCACAACCAAAATATTGACACTGATGCAGGCAAGGTACAAAATATTTCCAATATTACAAAAATCCCTCATGTTGACTTTCCATAGCCACATCCACTGCCCTCTCTACCTGCCCTCCTTAACCCCGGCAACAGCAACCACTAATCTCTATTTCTATAATTCTATTTTTCTAATTTCCTTCTCATCTCTATAACTTTGAAGGGTAAGAACACACATTTTTCCTTATGATTTCTGTTAACATAGAACACAAAGTCACGTCTTACTCTGCAGTTAGATTCTAAAACTGATAAATGAGTTAAAACTTAATTGTATATAAGAAAACTTAATCTTAACAATTCTTAGAAAGGCACCACTTTGTAGATACACGTGCCAGCTCATTCGAAATAGAGTAGAGCCTGCACTTCCTTCAGCGGTAGACCAGATGGCTTTGTCTCTGTTGTGGCACCTACTCATACTCAGATCATGTATCTTTAGTCACTGGAATTGCATTCAGCACTTCAAGAAAAGAAGCATGTGGGAACTGAGGCTACCAAAAAAACGCAACAGCTTCAGCTTCCTATGTCAAGTGCTTTATGCCTTATATGATGTCCATTGAGTAGAGTATCTTCTCCATCCCTCACTGTTTTCTTTTGTTCTTTAAAGCAAAGCACATTATGCATAGTATTAAATATATTATTGAATTTTTTTATTATCACTGGAGGTTTTACAATATTATTCACTGTATTACAATTACAATTGTAATACAATCACTGTATTACAATTATTTGCAATATTATTCTTGGTAGAGCTCATCTGACTCAGTAGAAATAGCAAAACTGCTGTCTGCTTCTATGTAAGTTCCATCTATTGGGTTATACTACTTTAGTCAGCTGGTGTCTTACAACTGCATCTGTTACTTAAAAAATAAAATTACAAAACACTCTTTCCTTTAGTAGACATTATATAGCTTTGTTATTGTAATTTTGCGCACACTGCATGAAGACTGCTATCTAAAATTGGGCATTTGTTTTGTACATTAAGAAGACAAATAGGTTTGATTCTTGTTTTATTTATTTTTTATCTTCCATGCAGTACAGAATGCAAACATCTATAGAAAGAATCAATTCTCTCCAATACTAAGAGCTTTGTGGTCTTTTTTTTTTGACTTTGAAAGACCTTGGCTACTGTAAAACAAATCTTTTTTTTTAAAAAAAAAAAAAGCAAGCATTATTGAAAGGGAGCACTCTGGTATGCCAAGTTTTCACCCAGGGGGAATTTTTACAGTCAAGTTACAGCCCTCTTAAAATAAGGCTATAGTAGAAAACACCAGTAGACAAACAGTAGTCACTTTAGAAGTTGTCTTTAATAGCAGTGTAAGCATTGGCTATTTCTTCCTGGGAAATATTTGGAATACCTAAATGTGTTCCATCTTTACTCAGCCATGCACCTTCTGAATAATTTCCTAGTACAAGTGGAGGTTTGTGACTAGGAGAACAGCATGGGCTGTCTGGAATGCTTCCTCAGATTTCTGCAGTAAGCCTATGCCCTTCACATCAGTTGCTCTTAACATGAAAGAGACTTGATTTAACTTTTGCCCAGCAGTACACCCTTGGACTGCTATGAAATGGAAGCTTATATTCAATGCATGAGCTTCTGCCTCACAGTCTCAGCTTTCCCCAGGGAGCGCGAAGCCCTCCCTCCTTAGCCTTTGCCATGCTTGGTGGTTGTGGCCGTTTCAGCATGTATCTCAGGCTGCCTTATAGAATCATTTCTGGCGCACATGTCCATTTTTCCCATCAGATTCCATGCTCCCAAGAACAAGAACATTATTCTCTACAGCATCCAGTACAGAGCTTGGCACATGGTAAGCGCTGAAACAGCGTATGTGAGAATAAAGCCCCTGAGAGATGTTTACTGCTGTAAGTGAAAAAGGTCTGGGATATCAGATCTTGGTAATACATAGGACTAGGGACACACTGATCCTGGGTAAACTACAACAACAACAGGTTTTTAATGTAGTGAGGGGAATATAAAAAAGTAAGAAAAAAATTGAAAGCGATAAAAAGGAATAAAAAAGGAGTAGCAAGCTGAAACTGAAGCCAGATAGGTGAACAATATCACCAAATCTGGAGTTATCTTAGAGTAAATTTCAACAGTAGCAGAGGACTTGGGTGGCTAAATTTTGTCACTGCTGCAAGTTGAGGGAGCTGAATCTGGGCAATATGCATTAGTATGAATCCTCCCAAAAAGCTAAAGAGATCTAAGGTTAGAAGCACCCCACTGCCAGCTCCAAGAAGGAAACAAATTCTCTCGGAAAGAAAGTATTGCCAGTTTAGTCTCACATGATTCCTAGAGATTAAGTTGAACAAAATAGGAGCTCAAAACAGCAACACAAGGAAATGAATTATCAACCACACAAGAAAATAATCAGCTATAAGTGAATTTAACAGAAACAAAAATCCATAAAGTTAGGGTATTGATGATTTTACTATTGGAATAATTCTAAGATAGAGAATATAAAATAGGTATGACATATTTCTTAAAAATATATAATTTTTCAAAAACAACTTTTTATTTATCAAGCAACAAAAGACCTTATAAAATTATCAGACAGATTTAAATAAAAATCAAACCAACTTTTAAAAATAAAAAAATACAAGCACTTAAATTTAAATCTCAAAGTATTGGACAGTCGATTATACACAGCTGAAGAAAAAATTAGATAATGGTCTAACAGATATTGAAAAGTTACTCACGAACAAATGGAAGTGCGCGGCAACACACCTCGCAGCCCACCGGACTCCGCCGCCATTTCCTCGCTAGGCCTAACGGTTCGGCCAATCCCAGCGCGCATCCAGAAGGACCGAGGCTCCGCCAATCGGAGGCCGCCGATTTCGACCCTTCGCCTCAGCCCGGCCCAATCCAGGCCCCGGCCCCGCCGCCCTCGGCCCACGCCCACGATGCCCTCTCTCCTCCCTCTTTGTGCTTCTCGCGTCGCCGCCGCCTGCCGCGTGAGAGGACTGGCTCCGCGCGCTACGGCGGCGGCGCAGTCGGGTCCCCTCCCCCCGGGAGACTTGCAAAGGAGAAGCCGTCGCCGCCGAGGAAAAGCAGCTGCCGGTGCCGGTCCCCGGGGGCGCCATGGCGACCAGAGCGAACGCCACGCCGCTGGACTTCCCAAGTAAGAAGCGGAAGAGGAGCCGCTGGAACCCAGACACAATGGAACAGAAGACGGTGATTCCGGGAATGTATGCGGTTATTCCCGCTGGACTTACTCGAGAACAAGAAGGAGCTTACATAGTGCAACTGCAGATAGAAGACCTGACTCGTAAACTGCGCACAGGAGACCTGGGCATCCCCCCTAACGCTGAGGACAGGTCCCCTTCCCCTGAGCCCATCTGCAATAGCGAGGGGAAGCGGCTAAACACACGAGAGTTCCGCACCCACAAAACGCTGGAAGAGGAGCGGCACAACCTCATCACTGAGATGGTTGCACTCAACCCGGATTTTAAGCCACCTGCAGATTACAAACCTACAGCAACACGTGTGAGTGATAAAGTCATGATTCCACAAGATGAGTACCCAGAAATCAACTTTGTGGGGCTGCTCATTGGGCCCAGAGGGAACACCCTAAAGAACATAGAGAAGGAGTGCAGTGCGAAGATTATGATCCGGGGGAAAGGATCTGTGAAAGAAGAGAAGGTTGGGCGCAAAGACAGCCAGATGTTGCCGGGAGAAGATGAGCCACTTCATGCCCTGGTCACGCCAATACAGTGGAGAACATCAAAAAGGCAGTGGAACAGGTAAGAAACATCTTGAAGCAGGGTATCGAGACCCCAGAAGACCAGAATGATCTACGGAAGATGCAGCTTCCGGAGTTGGCTTGCTTGAATGGGACCCTTCTGGAAGGCGACAACAGGATCTTAAGACCCTGGCAGATTTCAGAGACCTGCAGCATTACCAACACCACAGTTTGTACAAAGTGTGGAGGGGCTGGCCACATCTCTTCAGACTGCTAATTCCAAAGGCCTCGTTATCCCCAATCAGCTCAGGATAAACCACGGATGGATAAAGAATATTTGTCCCTCATGGCTGAACTGGGTGAAGCGCCCGTCCCAGCATCTGTGGGTTCCACCTCTGGGCCTGCCACCACACCCCTGGCCAGCGCACCTCGTCCTGCTGCTCCCACCAACAACCCACCTTCACCGTCTCTCATGTCCACCACCCAGAGCCACCCAACCTGGATGAATTCTGTCACTTCAGAGAGTCGGCCTTACCACAGCATGCATGAAGGTGGTCCTGGTGGGCCCGGAGGCAACCCCCACAGCTTCCCACACCCGTTACCCAGCCTGACAGGTGGGCATGGCAGACATCCCATGCAACATAACCCCAGTGGACCCCCACCCCCTTGGATGCAGCCACCACCACCTCCGATGAACCAGGGCCCCCACCCACCTGGGCACCATGGCCCTCCTCCAGTGGATCAGTACCTGGGAAGTACACCCGTGGGCTCTGGGGTCTATCGCCTGCGTCAGGGAAAAGGTATGATGCCGCCGCTGCCACCGCCTCCCAGTGGGCAGCCCCTGCCCCCTCCCTCTGGTCCTCTTCCCCCATGGCAACAGCAGCAGCAGCAGCTGCCTCCGCCACTCCCTCTGCCCAGCAGCAGTATGGCTTCCAGTACCCCCTTGCCATGGCAGCAAAATACGACGACTGCCACCACAAGCGCTGGCACAGGGTCCATCCCGCCATGGCAACAGCAGCAGGCGGCTGCCACAGCTTCTCCAGGAGCCCCTCAGATGCAAGGCAACCCCACTATGGTGCCCCTGCCCCCCGGGATCCAGCAGCCTCTGCCGCCTGGGGCCCCTCCCCCTCCACCGCCTGGTTCCGCCCCCTCCTCCTGAGCGTCCCATGGACCCTTCTAACTTTGTCACCATAATGGGCATGGGGGTGGCCGGCATGCTGCCCTTCTGGATGCCTCCAGCTACCCCACTGCCTCCACCACAGAACTAGACTAGTTTTTTAAGAAAGTATATAAAGAAGGGAAAAAAAAAAAGTTACTCAATGCAGTGCAGAGAATAGAAAGCATAGAAAAGACTTAGCAAGAAGACGAAGAATTAGTTAATTGAATTTTTAGAAGAAAAGAAGAGAAAGAATGGAGGAGAGGCAGTATTTAATGGTAGGCTGGGCGTGGTAGATCACATTTGTAATCTCAAGACTTTGGTAGGCCAAGGCGGATGGATCACCTGAGGTCAGGAATTCGAGACCAGCCTGATCAACATGGTGAAGCCCCATCTCTACTAAAAATACAAAAATTAGCCAGCTGTGGTGGTGGGTGCCTGTAATCCCAGCTACTTGGGAGGCTGAGGCAGGAGAATTGCTTGAACTCAGGAGGCAGAGGTTG